GTTTTCTCGCATTATGCGAGCAGGTCGGCTACATGCACGAAGCGGAGCGGGTGGACCATTACGTCAGAGGGTTGAAGCCGGACATCTCGCACGAAATCATGCTACACGGGCTCTCGAACTTCAATAAGATTCTCGCGCTCGCCGAGAAAATCGACATTTCACACCGTCCGAGACCGGGGTCCTACTATGGACATTGTCCTCGGGGACCGATCGAGCACGCCACTGTACACGCTGTTCCGACGAATGCAGATGCCGCGGCGTTTAAGGGTCGCTGCTTTGCTTGCAACAGGCCGGGCCATCGCAAGAGCAAATGCCCAGAGGAGCTAAGGCGCCGCGGAGCAGAGTAGGGGAGGGAGTCTCCAAAGCAGGGAAACGCCAGCAGTCATTAGGAATCGGGCCAAGTACTGACGAGACTGCCTGCTCGCCCAACCCCACCGACCCTCACCGAGTCACAGTACCGATTCAAGCTATCGATCGGACTCGGACGAATAAGGAGGGTACAGCGACGGATTGCCCGGTACTGATCCACGGGAAGATACAGGGAGCAGCGGTGACGATTTTTATCGAGGGAGGAGCAAGCCACTGTTTAGTTAATACCGCAACCGCACGAAAACTGCAGCTGACACTTAGCCGTTGTTTACCGGAGATAGACGCACGCTTAGTCGACGGCACGCCACTGGCCATACGGGAAAAGGTAGAGAGAGTCAAAGTCCGCTGCGGAGGAAATTTTGGGTTTACACAGAAAATGCTCGTAACGTCACTGGATGGGCACAATATTTTACTGGGACGTGATTGGCTGCGACGGTATAACCCGCGAATTGACTGGACGATGGGTAGCTGCACCGTGCGAAGTAGTGGTAACTAGGTCGAGCTACCTCGCTGGCAGTCGCCCGAGTCTTCAACGGTACACGTCAACGCCATCACAATGAAACGGGCTGTCGCTGCTGGAGCTGACGTGTACGCAAAAGACATCGCAATAGTAGAGGAAGCAGAGCAGCCGAGTGATTTCAAGAAACTGCTGGCAGCTGTACTGCCCGAATTATAGGAACTGTTGAAACGATACCCCGGGATTTTCCCCGACGACTTACCGGAAGGACTGCCACCTTAACGAGCACATGACCACCGAATCGAATTATAACTAGGGGCACAGCCAACCGTTCAGCGCCAGTTCAGAGTGACACATCCCGAGCTCGACGAACTAAGGAAGCATCTAGATTACCTGTTAGAGAAAAAAATCATCAGACCGAGCTCGTCACCGTTCGCCGCACCGATACCATTCACGCTGAAAAAGGACGGGGGTTTTCGCATGTGTATCGACTACAGAGCACTGAACAGGGTAACAGTCAAGTCGTGGTACCCCATTCCCCACGCCGACGAACTGATCGACCAACTGCGAATAGCACGGGTTTTTTCGAAAATAGATTAACGGGGAGGTTACCATCAGATTAGGGTCGAACCATCGGACTGCGTCAAATCAGCTTTTAGGACTAGGTACGGGTTGTTCGAATACACTGTGATGCCATTCGGGCTGACCAACGCACCGGCGACTTTTCAGATGACCATGAATGAGGCATTTAGGCCGCTCTTAGATAAATGTGTAATAGTTTACCTCGACGACATTCTAGTGTACAGTCGGGATAAGCAGCAGCACTTAGCAGATCTGGAAGCAGTGTTTAAGGTTTTAGACGAGCACAGATTACTGACCAAGGGTTCCAAGTGCGAGTTCTTCCAGGATAGGTTAGAATTTTTGGGGCACGTTATTTCGGAGGCTGGAGTTGAAATCGACCCAAAGAAGCTGGATACGGTAAAAGCTTGGCATCCCCCGACGAACATCACGGAGCTGCAGAGCTTTTTAGGGCTCGTTAATTATGTGCGTCAGTTCGTACCCGATATGGCACGGTTAACTGCCCCACGGACGGATTTACTGTGGAAGGGGGTCGCCTTTACGTGGGGGGAGAAAGAGCATGCTGCCTTCTCTGCCCTGAAAATTATGCCCTGTTCACCGCCCGTCCTGCGCATCGCCGACCCACACCGCCCATTCGAAGTAGTTACCGACGCAAGCAATATCGCCATCGGAGCCGTACTGCTACAGGATTTCGGCAATGGCCTACAGCCTATCGCATACGAGTGACGAAAACTGCATCCGCGCGAGAAAAATTACCCGATACACGACCGCGAAATGCTTGCGATCGTGCACGTGTTCAAACTATGGCGATGTTATTTGATTGGCGCAGAGGTGATAGTACGGACAGACCACAAATCACTACAGTACCTTCGCACACAGCCACACCTCGACCCACGACAGATTCGCTGGCTCGATTTCCTCGAGTCCAACTTTCACTACACGATCACTTACAAAAAGGGAGCCTCGAACATCGCCGACGCACTGACCCACCCTACTGGCCAGATCCACGCAACACTACTCGCCCATACAAGCCCGCTACTGACAGGCCTATTCACCCACGGGTACCAAACGGATCCATTCTTCACAAGAAGAAACTCGCAGCAGTTCGCAGCAGCAAAGGGGGTCTATTGCGTAAAAACCAGGACTGACCGCATTTCGGTGCCTGGGTATACACTGCTACGGGAATTACTGTTACAGGAGGCACACCACGGAGTTACCTTGGGGCATTTCGGAGTAGCAAAGACACGGCAGCATCTGCAGCGGTATTATTACTGGCTCGAAATGTTGACCGACGTACAACGACACGTGGCATCGTGTCCCACTTGTCAGCTCATTAAATCATCACGACAGCGGCTGGCCGGACAGTTGCAGCCGATACCACCCCCAGAGCGTGCTTGGTAGCAGGTGACGATGGACTTCGTTACGCGGTTACCAGCCGGGGCGAGTGGGAACGACGCGATCCTGGTCGTCGTCGATCGACTGACGAAAATGGCACATTTCGCAACCTGAAAAAAATCAATCACAGCCGAAAAAACAGCATGCCTCTTCATCTCCACCGTCGTTCGACTGCACGGGATACAAGCCGCGATCATCAGCGACCGCGACACGAAATTCACCAGCAACTTCTGGCGGAACCTGTGGCAGCAGTTCGGCACGCGACTGCAGTTCAGTTCATCATACCACCCCGAATTCGACGGACATACAGAACGGACAAATCAGACCATGGAACACCTCATCAGGGCCACGTGTGACGACCCGACCACGTGGGAACAGCAACTGCCACTAATCGAATTCGCGTACAACAACTCGCCATCCGCCACGACCCAACAGTCACCATTTTACCTAAACTACGGACAAGACCCGATAGTACCCATGACCCCGAATCCCGACAACCCAGTACGACGAGCGCAACAGTTCGCCAAAATATTACAAGCAGCACGGACCCGGGCAGTAGACGCAATAAAAAAATCGAACATCATCGCTAAACGCAATGCCGACCGCCACCGCAGACCTGTCACTTACCAGCCCGACGACTTAGTTTTACTTGACACTCAGAACCTCCAACTGCCCATCACCCCGAAACTCCGCCCCCGATACTGCGGCCCATTTCGCATAAGCCACATGCTTACACCCGTCACCACCCACCTCCTCCTCCCTGCTGACTGGTACGTCAGCCCCTCATTCCACGTCAGCCTGCTTCGCCCTTATGTCCTGTCCACGAGCCAACTGCCACGCAATCGCCCAGCCAGCATGACAAGACCACCAACCGAACCAATCATCACCCCCGATAAAATCCTGAGTCACAGAATTCGCGACCCTCGAGGAGCCCGAAGGATCGAGTTCTTACTCGGCTGGAAGGACCGTACACCCACCGAAGACAATTGGGTTCCCCTGGACAGAATCGAGAACCACCCCGTCCTCACCGAGTATCTGCGCAGCCGAAATTTCAGGGATGTACATGCACTTTCGTAAGGAGGACCTCCTTAGGGGGGGGGGGGTAGTGTAAGGAAAATTCCTTTTCCTTACTTCGCATCCCTGCTCAACGCGTACATCACTGTAGCACCACAGTCAGCATCGTTACCACTCGCAACCCTCGCATCGACAATCCGCCCGCCACCTTCGCACGTCGCACGGCTCGGCGGGTAACCCGCGCTCCGGGCCTTCGCTTCGACACTTTTCCTAACCTCAGTCCCAGGCCCGTCGCGCGACAACCACAGTCCATTACCGTTACCACTAAGTTTCGCTAGATAATTTTCGCTCATGTATTCGCTCATTGTACTCTTGCTTCGATAGTGCAATTCTCGTTCGTTCACTCAAATGCACTCGTAACAGGTGGACGGTCAATGCCCTACACTGTATTACAGCTTACAGCAACACAATAATACGCGAATCAACCGTGTTCAGAACAGACAATTCAATAACTTTTGCCATGTTCCACACCCTTTGTGTAAGGATTTACACATCCTTACTGAGGCACTCGTTAGCGAGGTCATCCCGAGGGTCACGCAACAAACCTGTCCTGCCTATTTTGTTGGACCGAACCACGCCCAGGTCGCCTCCGCACCAATCGCAACCATCACCGAGCCATCCCTTCCCGAACCCCCTGCCTAGCTAGCCTTTCCCCTAATTATTCGTACCATACTCATTGTATCGTCATTCAGTATTCAACCATTTTTGTTATTCGTTTTACTGCGCACTCTGCAAGTTCAATCATAACACCTTGGGCTCAGCACATTGGGCGAACACATGCTGCTTGAATTGCCTTTTTTGGGGGTGCATTCAATGCATTCAGTACAGTACACAGTATCCATCCTTTTTTTACACCAAACAACGACCCTGGGGTGAAGGTGGTTCTGTCAAACTGGCAGCACCAAGAGATTACTTCGCGAAAGAAAATGCATGCCTATTGTTCTGTTCTGAGGATACAAAAGAAGATGGCAGAAAGGGGGTATAGAGGATGCTGCCAAACGTTTTGTTCTGCTCCTGAGGAACAATGAACCTTGACTTGTTTCAAGTACTATACACTAGGTGCACCCATCCGATGTACAAACGCGAGCACAACCTTTAGCATCTGTGATCGTAATTGGTGTAGGTGTCAGCAGCAGGGGAAGAAACGCGGGTTGGATGGAAGCTGGTACTCTGTAACGGTCTGCAGGGGAGGGTTTGGAAAAGAAGGGCGAGAGTAAGAAGAATGGGCCGCGTGATGTGTCGAACTGGAGGGAAACAATGCAGGGAAGTAAGAAGAAGCACGGCGAGCCAGACTCACCTTGAGATTGTCCTTTGAGTCGACCCAAAAGTAACCTCGGCAGCATGTGGTGTTGAGCCGGAGGGAAACAATGCAGGGAAGTAAGAAGAAGCACGGCAAGGCAGACTCACCTCGAGGTTGTCGGAGGTAGGTGCTGAGAGAGGGGAGAGAGAGGCTCACCTTGAGGTTGTCAATACGTGGGAGCAGAGAGGGGGAAGACCACCCGCACATTGCCACACGGGAACAGACGAGTCGCCCTTCCCACTACAGCCCCCAACTGATTGCTGGATTGGACCTCACAACGAAGCAGAATAGCAAGCAAGGCTCACCTTGAGGTTGTCGGAGGTGGGTGCAGAGAGAGGGAAGACCACCCGCACATCGCCACACAGGAACAGTCGAGTTTTCCGTTCCCTGCCGCCCTCACGCCTGTGCTTGCGGGATTCCTTTGAACCCTCCCCTTGGACATCCCCTTGCCCCTCCCATTGCCCATCACCACCACCAACATGACCACCACTAGCAGCAGCAGCGGCATCACCACCGCCAGTAGCAGCAGCAGTAGCAGTGGCGCCGTCACCACCACCACCAGGAGCAGCAGCAGTAACAGCAGCAGCAGCAGTAACAGCAGCCGCAGCAGCACTGCGTGGCTTGGGCAGGCACTGGAACTGCAGGTGAATCACAGCTCTCACTGCTCCCGATTGCGCCTCCTCTTGCTGCTCCTGTGTGTTTCCTTGCCTCGTTTGCTGCTGCTGCTGCAAAGGAGGAGGAGCTTGGTGGCTTGAGCAACCAGAAGCTTCCTGGAAGGGCGCGGCAGCGTGCTTGGGTGCAAGCAGCGTTCTCTGGCGAATGAAGGTCTGCCAGATGGGGAGGAGCGGACGAGATGGAGAGGGGAGGAGGGGAGAGGGGAGAGGAGGGGAGAGAGGAGAGAGGAGAGGGGAAAAATGCCTTCAGCCGAATGAAACTACAGGAGGGGAGGAACCTACATTACCTTGTTTCCCATCTCTCAAAACCCTCCTTCCACCTTGGAGTGGGGTGGCATTTGAGAGAGGTCGCAGGGGCAGGAGAAGGTGAGAATGGTAGATTGGTGGATTGCACACCTTACCATGCAATGTAACGGACACCTCACCTCACCACACTGCACCTCACCTCACCTCACCTCACCTCACCTCGCCTCACCTACCATGTCTCACACCACGCCTCTCACCTTGGAGTTGGGGGGCATATCAGAGAGGTCGTAGGAGCAGGAGAAGGTGTGGATGGGTGTGCCCTCTGGGTTCGACAGCAGCAGCTGAATGCGCCCTTTGGTCGGCACCCGCACTCTCGCCCTCTGCTTCTGCCTCTGCTGCTCCTTCCGCCCATCCGTTTCAGCTTGCTGAAAATCACCAGACGAATTCGTTTCTACCCGATCATCTCGTGCTGCTGCTGCTGCTGCTGCTGCGGCTGCTGCCGCTTCTGCTCCCGTCCCGCCTTCCACTCCAAACAGCAGCTCCCTGCGAGTGTCTTTGCGCTTACCCGCGACTCTTCTGTCAACTGGAATCGCCGCACTGCACCCATCAGAACCGAGACTGTCAGCCCTGGGAGCATCACCACGAGCCATGCCAGCATGCTTGCTCGTGCCTGATTGCTCCAACCCCACCACTGCTACCCTCCCTTTGCCTCCACTCTCCCCCTCCCCCTGCCCTCTACCAACCGTAATGCTGGCAGCATACAGCTGGGACGGTGAGGAGGGCAGGAAGGCGGCCGAGAAGGTGGTTCTGACCGGGTCGGCGGTCCACTCCCCTTGCTGCGACAGCACGGCTAGCATGGCCTTAAACCCGCTGATGTACTGCCGTGAGGGAAGGGACAGAGGGATAAGAATGCAGAAATAGAGGAGGGCGAAGGGATGAAGAACAGGAGGGCAGGAAGGTGGCTGAGAAGGTGGTTCTGACCGGATCGGTCGTCCACTCGCCTTGCTGCGACAGCACGGCTAGCATGGCCTTAAAACCACTGATGTACTGCCGTGTTGGGCGGGATATGGGGGACAAAAGCGTAGGAACATGGTTTAGGGGAGTAGAACAGGACGTGGGAAAGGCTGCCGAGAAGGTGGTTCTGGATTTAACTTTTGAGAATTCTCAAAAGTAAAATCCACATAAGCGTAGGAACATGGTTCAGGGGAATATAACAGGATGTGGGGAAGGCTGCCAAGAAGGAGGTTCTGACAGGGTTAGCATGGCTTTGTTTTTTGAGAATTCTCAAAAAACACGCGCTGCAACACATTTCCCTCCCACGTAGGTCGGCAGTCCACTCCCCTTGCTGTGGCAGCGCCGCTAGCATGGCTTTGAACCCGCTGATGTACTGCCATGGGATGGGGGGGGGAGGGAAGAGGAGGGGGGAAGGGAATATAGAAGCAGAGGGGCGAAGAGAAGCAGAACAGGAGGCAGGAAGGCGGCTGAGGAGGTGGGCCGTTCTGATAGCCGATTGGCCATCCTGCTGCGACAGCACCGCTAGCATGGCCTTAAACCCGCTGATGTACTTCCATGAGGGGAGGGACAGAGGGACAAGAACGGGGAAATAGAGGAGGGCGAGGGGATGATGAAAAGGAGGGCAGGAAGGCTGCTGAAAAGGTGGTTCTGACAGGAACGGCGGTCCACTCCCCTTGCTGCAACAGCACGGCTAGCATGGCTTTGAACCCTCTAATGTACTGCCGTTGGGGGGATAGGGTGGATAGATCAAATAATAGAAACGCATGGAAACAGCTCTTTTAGCCCATACACATTGACCCCTCCCCCCACCCCCCCCCCCCACAACTCCCCCCACTCCCCCCACTCCCTGCACTTCCCCCACTCCCCCCACTCCCCCCACTCCCCCCACTTCCCCCACTCCCCCCACTTACCCCACTCCCCCCACTTCCCCCACTCCCCCCACTCCCCCCACTTCCCCCACTCCCCCCACTTCCCCCACTCCCCCCACTTCCCCCACTCCCCCCACTTCCCCCACTCCCCCCACTTCCCCCACTCCCCCCACTTACCCCACTCCCCCCACTTTCCCCACTCCCCCCACTTCCCCCACTCCCCCCACTTTCCCCACTCCCCCCACTTTCCCCACTCCCCCCACTTCCCCCACTCCCCCCACTTCCCCCACTCCCCTCTCCTTCTTCCCTCTCGCAGATTACAGGCCCTCACTCACCTTTACCCCGCTGCCCTCCTCCTGGCCAGTAGCAGCCTGCCACATCAGCGACTCCTCAAACGAACCAACCAGCGACCGTTTCAGCAGGGATTTCCGCACGCAACTCCTCTCCCCGCTGCAAGCTGACGTGGCGGCCCTGGAAGCGAGCCAGCGGTGGAAAAAGAGGTCGCTGACTGTTGGCGCTGATGCTGGAGTGGTGTTGATGCGGCAGCTGCTGACGTGGCGTTCAAAGGGAGTGGCTGGGAAAGGAACTGGCACGGCCGAACCGGAAAACGACACATCAGCTTCGGAATATCCCGGACGAATCTGTGCCGTAGATACTGCAGGCACCAAGGTATCGATCCGACGGTTCTGAACACCAGGAGCGCAAATCAAGGGTCCAAGATTGCTGATAGGACTATAACACGGATTATTCCTGATACTCGAGCTGACGTGGAATGGTGTGCTACTAACGAGGGGTGAGCTGTGAAAAGACGCTGACAGCTCCTCGCTATGGTCACACACAGGGCTGAGTCTATGGGGACTGTAGCAGCGGTGCTTGTAAAGAGTGTTACTGTACTGAAACTCTTCGCAACCGTGAGTGCTGCTAACGAGCGCCGGGTGTGAGGGGCTGGGCTGACAGTGACGTGCATCTCTGTGCTTCTCTGGCGCTTCACTTGGCACTGCCAACTCAGCACACGTTGCCAGGTCAGCAGCTGGTGCCAGGTCAGCACCTGTCCCGGGCAGCAACTGCAACGTCTGCAGAGCCGCAGACAATCCACCACGATTGGCGTTGGCACTTGGCTTATGAGGGGCAGCGACAGCAGATGAAGCAGCAGCAGTGGCAGAGGAAGCAGGAGCAGCAAGGGTTGAAGCGGAGGCAGCAGGAAACGGAGGGGAAGCAGGTGCAGCAACGGCAGAAGTGGGAGCAGCAAGGGCAGAAGCAGGAGAAGCAGCAAACGGAGGGGAAGCGCCTCCTGCTGACGACGGCCTGAAGCGAGAGGGACGGGGGGATGGGTTTCCGCAGGACGGGGGGAAGCTCGCGCACGAAGGCGCAAGGGGCGACGCCGTGAAGCCGGATTGGCGGACGCTACCCCCGACGAAGGAGGATGGGGGAGGGGGAGTTGGCGGAAGGGGATTTGGCGGAAGGGGAGATGGAGGGAGAAAAGATGGGCTGAGTGAGGAGGGGGAGAGGGGAAAGCGGGAGAGGGGGGATGGAGAGAGGGAAAAGAACAAGAGGGGGGACGGGGAGGGGGGGGTGGTAGCTTGCTCCTTCGCCTCCTCCTCCTCCGCTTCCCCCTCATCAAAATGTCCCTCCTTCCCCTCCTCGTGTATCTCCTCCCTCCCCTCTTCTTCCGCTTTTTTCCCTTCCTTTTCGTACACATGGTCGCCTCGCCGTGCAGCGTGCGACGTCGCCGAATCTCGCAAACCCATGTGCGACAGATGCGACAAGTGCTCCTCCTCCTCCTGCTCGTGCTGCTCTCCTGCTTGCGACGGCCGCACCTTCTGCGACAACCGTAGCGACTGCCACGTCGGATGAGCGACGCGCGACGGCGGCCCCGCGTAAGGAGCCGCTCCAGAAACCGCCGCTGAACGCGGCGGAATGCACGCCGTAACTGCCGGCAGGGACCCGTGAGCATTCTCCCTCAGACTGTCTGCCTGCCATTCCCTTGGTCTTTGTGACTGCACGTCAGGTTTCTGTGACAGCAAGACCGATTTCTGCGACTGCAAGTCTCTTAGCCTCTGCGCCTGCACTTGCTTCGCATGCGTAATGGCTTGCGACGACATGTTCGCAGCACAGCAGTCGTCATCACCGGCATCCGACTCGGCGACGGCTGGCGACGTCGCAGGAAGGCCGTCGCACGGCGACGAGTGGTCGGCGAGGCGGGAGCGGTGGTTACCCGCTGGAACTCGCACGGGGCTCTTCGCAGACTCAGGAATGGTCCTTCCCATGGCGTGTCCAAATGTTGAAACACCGTTTCGAAAACCTGAAAGGGTGCTTGAGGCCGTCCGAATGTTCGAACGTTGAGCCTGTCCGGATGCTCAGCTAGTAGTTGACTTCTATACCGTATTTCGGATGCCAGCTATGGTAACCACACGGACCTGTAACCAAGCAACTGTATAAGCCGTGCCACCCCACTAAATCGGAACAACTGACTTCAACGAGTAAATTTGTAGGGAACTCCACGACGACGTTGCTCGATACGCGTATCTCAGAGGCTGGGCACACCGCATAACCTGGGTTAACAGTGTGCTACACTGTTGGCCATACTAACTGTTTGCTGTAGGTTACCTTGCAGATAAGTAGAGGACGAGGAGAAGAAGACCAGAGGAAAGACAGGCAGACCAGGCATACTGACCATGCCATTCCCATGAAGTTATGGGATGGGCTGGGAGGACCCATGGTGAGGAGAGGTGAACTGAATGTGGAGGAGCCATGAATGGAACAGAGAATGTGATGGCTTGATGGGATTGGACGAGATAAGGATTTCTCCTATCATCCATGACCGCTGCATGCACGCCAACAGCAGAATGTCGGCCAACTGGCTCGACGAACGCTCGCGATCGCGGGACAAGACTCAGCGAGTTTCGTAAATGGTAACCTGCGGCTGGCTGGCAGCGCGAAGGCTCGTGAGCCGTCGCCAAATGAGTGGATATGTGCTGTCACACTGGCGGCGACGAATGAGATGGACTTTCCTCCCTGGACTGATTGTGATTAGTTCGCTGACGCAGCTGCCAGTAACCACATACCCGACGCGAGAGGCTCACGAACTGTGCGAACTGGCTAACGAAAGCTTTTCGTGAGGACGATTGGATTGCACTCTTGCCTAGCTGGACAACCTGAGTGGCACGTGACAAGCCACAATTGGCGTTCACAGCGATTCTCAGTACTCGGTTCAGCAATGTGCTCGGCCGCGGGCAGGCTGTACCAGTGCAAGCAGACATCGTCCTTCTGGATCCCTCTTGTGATACTATGCTACACTTGCATAAATACGGTATAACAAGTTCAGTGGTAAACTCTTGACAAGCCACCATTTCCATCCATTCTTGAAAAGAGGGGAAGCTGCTGCTACCAAATAGCACTTCACTCGAATGTGAGGTACACTTATAGAAATGACAGGCTAATGCACAGAGCTAGTCAAGCGAATGCACCATCCCAGGCCTCCATGAAGGACAGTAAGCTACACTTTTACGTGTTGGTGGCGCGGGTGTAGATGCACTGTGTGGCGTGCGTGGACACAACACGGATGCTGCCTCGCGACAACAGGTCCTTGATGGCCCGCCGAGCCAAGGAGCCGTTGATCTGGAATTGGGGGGAATGGATGAACAACATTATTTTAACAAGTAGCCTGCAACAGTTGAAGACGAACAGGAATAAGACACACTAATAAACGTGTCCTGCTCTGGCCATACAAGGAGTGGACTCCACAAACAATGGACACGGAGGAAGGGAAGAAGAGGGCCGGGACGAAGTTAGCTGGATAAGTGCTGTTAAAAAACCATCTAATTCCCAATATTTCCAGGATAAACAAAACATCAATACGAAGGGAATGAAGACGAAACATCAATAGTAAGTCAGAAAGCAAGATACTCACGCGCAGGCGGTCGCAGAGCACGGAGGAGGTGATGAGCTTCGTCTTGGGGATTTCGGAGAGCATCTTGTCGTACGTGGCCTGGTCGAACAGCACCATGTTGTTCACCTTCTCCTTCTGCTTTCCCTTGCTCCACTTCTGCTCAGGGGAGGGGAAAATAAGTGGAGATTAATCAGTCAGATGAGATCACTCAAACCGTGTTCTCCGTCTTGGCGCTTCTCTTGTCGTACGTGCTCTGATTAAAGAGCACCATGTTGTTCACCTTCCCCTTATGCTTTCCCTAGCTCCACTTCTGCTCACGGGAGAGGCGAAAACGTGGAGATGAATCTGTTGTATAAAACGACTCAGAACTGTATTCTCCACTTTCCCCTTGCTCCGCTTCTGCTCAGGGGCGACGCAATCAGTCCGGACAAGCACTGCCAAGCGATGCTACGCAATGCCAAGCATTGCGAAGCAAGAGAAGGATTCCTGGGCTCAAAGGAACGCCATCAAAATCTCCTTCGTCCCCTAAGCGAAAACAGAGAGGAGGATCGGGCTAGACCGGCAAGAAGCGGAGAGACAACATAACCTAAATGTTCCCTGCACTGTCTTCAATAAAGTAGGTGACTGTGCGGCACACGCTCCATCATTCAAAACCGGGTAGGCGATACTGCTGCTGGAAGCGAGAGAGACTGCTCCAATTCTACGCGATCCTCTGCGGCTACATGGTTGAGGCCCTTCGAAACCCTAATCTCATCATGTCCTGTTGTCTGCGAATTCAACTTCTCGGAACACACGAATGCCTCCATCTCATTCACCCGCTACGCATACTGGGCGGAAATAATCTTAGCGCCAGAATCTGGGCATGGCGTAACAAACGTAACGTCATTCTGTGAGCTGGTGAGAATTGTCACGACATGGTGCAACCCGTCGTAACCCTCGCTACATTCGCTTTGAATGATCGTGGTGTGAGTCCTAGGTAGCAAGAAGAAAGCAGGAAAACAGCAAGCGGAAAAAACGAGAAGAGAAGAGACGGAGAATGATGCGACGAGTTGAACTTCGGGGAATTCGGCTGTGGATAACACGTGGAGGAGCAGATTTCGTGGCACGGAACGTCAAACAAAACGAACCTTTTTCTTCTGCTTGCCGCCTCCGGATTTGGCGGGCTTGGCTTGAGCCTTATCGGCCTTTGCGTCCTTCTTTGGAGCCTGATGACAGAGAGGAGAACGGGGAGGTGACGAAACGGGGACAGCGGCGGGGGAGGACGGACAGGAAGAGAAGAGCACGGAGACTCAGAACAGAACAACTCGTTTTCTCAACGAACAGATGACTCGAGTCCGCCGTATTGAATAGCGCTGAAAATGGCGATAGGCGTCAGCTAGTAGAAGTTTGGACTAATCGGCTACGGGTAAGAAATACTCGCGCAAAACTCGCAACGTAATAGCTTGCAGTGGAAGAAACACGCGGCGCGGCTCTGAAAGACTATCAGGGCTGAAGCGTTTAGAGAGGCGTACCATGGTGGGAGAAAAGGAGAGACAGATTAGGAGGTGCGGAGGAAAAAGAGGTAGCGATGGTGGGAGGCGAAGGAGATGGAGGAGGCGGGGGGGAGGCTGTGCGAAAATGGAGAGCGCGCGCAAGCGGAAGGGGGAGCGATGGGGAACAGAGAAGTTCCTACTGCAGGTGTGAAGCAAGCTCCAACAAAAAGTGGGAGCAAAACGGGATTCTGGTCTTCGTGAAATACCCTTTCTCGAAAGAGAATTTTCGCATGGATCGTGTAATAATTATCCAATATATAATAATCTGCTTATCACGCATATCACGCATAGCGAAAGTAGCTAAATCGGGACACTCTCATTTGGGTCCTGCCAGCAGAGCCGCACGCACCGACCCAATGCGTTTGAGCAACTTCCATTTTCATGACGTGGCAAAGCATCTACACTCATCGGCGGCCTTTTTGGTGTGTGATTGTGACGTGGCGCCAGGTGCAGTTAGCTGAACGAAATCCGAGCCTCCGCAACAAAGCCAAAAAGCGAATTTCAGAACCTCAGCCTCAGGTCAGGTTGAGCTGAAGCATAGAAGTTCCTCTCGCCGAACCGGAATGAAGGTGTTGGAAGGTTAGGTAAGCTCTATGCCTAGGTTTTCCCGCCTGATTCCTTCTGGTATGTCGTCAGCATGCTTCTTTGCTTCACTTTTCTTCACTCACATGAAGCTGACTTGAAAGGTTTGGTGGTTCTTCCTTGTTTGCTTTCTTTATTTTCCTTCCATGCAGAAACAGCATTTCCCTGTCTAGAAGGGTCTGTTAGTATTCCCAAGGTTCCTAGGGATCACCGTTACGGTCCTTTGACGTTCCCCTAGTGACCTGTCTTAGTCATCTACGCTGCTCAACTAGGTATTGACTTGACACAGCCCATGCATATGCACCGAGTCAGTCGCTAGGATTTTTCGCCAAAACGAGAGTGGCGGCTGAAGTACAGTAAATATTCAAAAAGCGTGATCAGCAAGAGAAGCCATGGAGTTGTGTGGATCGATAGCTCGGCCTCCTGCGGGAAGCTCATTGTAAGGGATTTCTGTAGCAATGATTGCCTTTAGGCCTTAGTACGATTATTACTCCAGTTTGAGAGGGCTGATCGCTAGATCTTAGAGACAACTCTTGGTTTGCCGCATCCTACATTAGATTCTCGGACGCTCCTTTTCTTATTTATCATACGTGTGTCTGGTCGCATGTTTGCAAACACCTTCCTTTTCAAGCATTTGTTATAACGATCCTCGCTGTGGTTCCAGGATCAGTTATTTTGCCTGAAGCTCACCAGCCTCGCCGCGCCCTATCGCGATACGTCATAGCAATGCAGCCAAGTATCCGGTTCTTCTCTTCCATCAACTTCTGTCGATTCTGTCCTTCATTTTCCCGTCACACCCTTCCCAAACAGAGACCAAATCATTGGCCCCAGAAACATCGCAGAGCGACGAGGGTCCAGAATTTCTTTATCACAGTGCTCTAGCAGAACCCCTATCTGTAGCCGTGCTCCGATCTGCCATCAGAGAGCCGTACGGAACGTTGGGGTCTGTAGCATCAGACCGAGCAGCAGCAGCGTACTAGAGAATCAGCGACGGGGTTTCTGGGGACAGCAGGTACAGCAGCAGCAAGCTGTAGCACCAGGGAGGGGCCGCAGGAGAGATGCGGGGAGAAGGGGATCTTTGGAGCGTGAAAACGCTCACAGGAAGGATCGGCTGTGTTGCTGTGCGGCTTCGTCGGGAGATGAGGAAGCTTCCGTTTCAGGGAACGGCGCAGCCAGCAGTCCTGAAATGCCAAGGTCAGTTGCTTTCTGTGTACGGTGTAACGGACTTCGAACAATCTTCATGGCCTCTTTCGGCCGCTGTTGAACAATACAATGGGGTAAACGCGAGAAGAGGAAGGAAAGTGCTGGCCATGTATGTTGGGACAGCATGATCTGCATGATTTAATGAATGTGCGAAATCGATGACACCATGACATCCGTCGAAAAGGTGATCGTTATTCCAGGAACGCGAGAATTGTGAACGGCGAAATTGGGGGTGGTGGTCTGCAAATTGAAAGCACGCGAATACGAATTTTGTTCGCGTCTTCTGAATGCTTCCCGTACAACCCTGTGGTTCTTCATGATATTGGGGGAGATGGAATGGAACTTCAACGAGAGTCTTTGTGGGGGAATCAAAAGAAGGGATAAAAAAAAGGAAAAAAAATGCTGTGCTGGAATGAGCGGAGGGAGGTGGAATGGAACAGATGCCAGTTGTCTCGGCTCCTACGACCTTCCGCTCCCAATCTTCTCTATTGCACTCTTGCATCTCCCCGTCTCAGCATGAGCACGGTCGAGATGGAGGTGCTCTCTGATTCCGACTCGGATCGAAGAACTCTTTTTCAGCCCCCGCGCACCCATCACTGCCCCTCCCCCCACCCCATCCCCTGACTTTTCATGCCTTCACTCATGGCAGCATGAGCACGGTCGAAATGGAGGGGCTTTCTGACTCGGACTCGGATTGAAGCACGCTTTTCCCCCCCCCTCGCACCCATGTCTGCCCCTCCCCCCACCCCATCCCCTTTCTTTTCATGCCTTCACTCATGGCAGCATGAGCACGGTCGAGATGGAGGTGCTTTCAGATTCGGACTCGGAAGAGTTTTTCGCCAGCGAGGCTGACGACGATCCTGACCGTCCATCTCGAGGGCTGAATTCCATCTCGGAAGCCATTGAAGCCATCCGACGTGGCGAGGTGAGCTAGAGAGGGAGGCAGTGTGGGGGAAAGAACGACCCTGACCGTCCATCTAGAGGGCTGAGTTTCATTGAAGCCATTCAAGCCATCCGACATGGCTAGGTGCGCTAGGGGGAAGCAATGCCAATGAGGGGGGAAAGGGGCAATGGGGAAGGGAAGAGAGGGCAGATGGCGAGGATTGGAAGTACGAGGAAGGGGATAGAAGGGGGGAGGGGGATGTAGGGGGCTTGTTGCTGGTGAACGACGAGGACAAGGAAACAAGGGTGAATTGACATGGTGTTTCCCCTCTCATCCCGCCTTCCCTTCTCACTTTCGGCCCACCCTCCCCTCTCTCCAGATGGTGGTGGTGGTGGATGATGAAGATCGCGAGAACGAGGGCGATCTGATCATGGCTTTTTCCGCCCCACCCCGTCTTCCCTCCTTGCCTTCTCCTCTTCCTCCTCCGTCGCAGATGGTGGTGGTGGATGACGAGGATCGCGAGAACGAGGGCGATCTGATCATGGCAGCGCTGCAGCACTTAGACCCCTTTCCCCACCCTCTACCCCACCTTCCTAATCTCCCCACAGATGGTGGTGGTGGTGGATGACGAGGATCGCGAGAACGAGGGCGATCTGATCATGGCAGCGCTGCAGCACTTAGACCCCTTTCCCCACCCTCTACCCCACCTTCCTAATCTCCCCACAGATGGTGGTGGTGGTGGATGACGAGGATCGCGAGAACGAGGGCGATCTGATCATGGCGGGCGCGCTCACCACAGAGGCGGACATGGCCTTCATCGTGCGGCACTGCAGCGGGCTCGTGTGCGTGGGCGTGGCGGGGGCTGTCTTGGATCGCCTGGAGCTGCCCCTGATGGTTAGGAGCCAGGAGAACGACGAGGCGCTGAGGACTGCTTTCACCGTCTCTGTGGTGAGTGATTGGGTGGGTGTGGAGGGGGAAGGAAAGGGAGACATCTGTGCTGAATGAACGTGTTGGAGGCTGTTCTGGATCGCCTGGAGCTGCCTCTGATGGTTCGGAGCCAAGAGAATGATGAGGCGCTGAGGGCTGCCTTTACTGTCTCTGTGGTGAGTGCCTGGGTGTGTGGAGGGGGTATGTGTGTCTGGTGAGTGAGAGCATGTGTGGTAGTGTGTGCTGATTGTGTGGGTGAGCATGATGGTTCTGGACCACCTGGAGCTGCCTCTGACGGTTGGGAACCAGGATCTCAGGGAACCACAACGGGCGGCATTTATGCCTAGAACCGAGCCAAGGCAGTGTGTTTTGTTTATTGGCTCCAAAGTTGCAACTCGTCTCCTTCCTCTGTCACCTCTCAGGACCTGAAGCTGGGAACCACAACGGGCATATCGGCATCAGATCGAGCCAAGACGGTGCGGGCGATGGCAGACTACTCGAGTGAACCCTCTGACTTCCGCAAGCCAGGCCACATCTTCCCCCTGCGAAGCAGAGAAGGTACGGCGCTTCTTTACGAGTTCTCTGTCTGAAGCTACCACTGGCATGAGCAAGTCAGAACAGCTCATGCAGGCACCGGCAGGCAGACTAGTTGAGTGAACCCCTCGGACTTCCGCAAGCCTGGCCACATCTTCCCCCTGCGGAGCAGAGAAGGTATGCACTTATTGTTTGTTTAGTCAACTCAAAGTCGTCTCAGTACAGCGCTTGATTTGGGATGCATAGCCTGAGTGAGGGGCACACTGGAGCACCCGTAAGCTCCTCTGTGCTGGCCTGGCAGCACGGGCTGCCTGCCCCCTGTGGTCTGCGGTGTGAGAGAGTGGATGGGGTCACTTGATCGTATCATAATGTATCACTATCATGCCTTATTGAATGAAATGTCTCCCCTGTGCTCGTCCTGCCTCTCATCCATCCCCCAGGTGGTGTGTTGAAGCGAGCAGGGCACACGGAGGCAGCAGTGGACCTCTCAGTGCTGGCGGGGCTGCCTCCTGTGCCTGTGGGCATGGTGGGTGAAAACGGGTCTTTCATACAATATATCATATCTCAAGTCCCCTGTGCTTTTCACGTCGTCCATCCCAGGTGGTGTGTTGAAGCGAGCAGGGCACACAGAGGCAGCAGTGGACCTCTCAGTGCTGGCGGGGCTGCCTCCTGTGGGCGTGCTCTGTGAGATCGTGAACGATGATGGCACCATGGCCAGGATGCCGCAGCTCAAGGTGTTTGCCCGCCAGCACAACCTTTGTCTCATCTCCATCGAGGATTTGATCAGGTATGTTGGGGTACAGTGCGGTTGAATCCGGTATTGTACAGTACGGCTGGGTGCGTTACTGTGCAAGGCAGTGAACAACAATGGCACCATGGCTTGCTCCAAATGTTTTCCCGCCAGCACAACCTCTGCCTCATCTCCATCGAGGATTTGATCAGGTATGCTGGGGAATGCGGTGCGGTTCAGTGAGGTTGAATCTGGTACAGCTAGCATGCCGCAGCTCAAGTTGTTTGCCCGCCAGCACAACCTCTGCTGCATCTCCATCGAAAATCTAATCAGTTGTGCGTGGGAGCCACATGCATTTCAGGACGGTCCAGTGCAGTCCTTGACACACTCCCTTTCACCCTCTTCCTGACACGCTCTCTTCATCACCCTCTCCCCTTCACCCCCTCCCTTTTCACCCCCTCCCCGTAACCCACTCCCCTTCACCCCCTGCCCTTCACCCACTCCCCTTCAACCCCTCCCTTTCACCCCCTCCCCTTCACCCACTCCCCTTCACCCCCTCCCCTTCACCCACGCCCCTTCACCCCCTCCTTTTGGACCCACTCGCCTTGACACAGGTACCGGCGCAAGAGGGAGAAGCTGGTTGACTCGAACAAACCCTCCATTTCACCCACTCCCCTTCAACCACCCCACTCACAGGTACCGGCGCAAGAGGGAGAAGCTGGTGGAGCGAACTGCAGTGGCACGCCTGCCCACCCAGTGGGGCGTGTTCAACATCTTCAGCTATAAGTGCAAGCTGGATGGCATAGAGCACGTTGCTATGGTCAAGGTGAGCCGCACTCCACCGCATCAAACTGCACATCACCGCATCGAACTGCACTGCAGAATGCCGCCTGCCCACCCAGTGGGGCGTGTTCAACATATTCAGCTATAAGTGCAAGCTGGATGGCATAGAGCATGTTGCTACGGTCAAGGTGAGTGTGAACCGCACAGCATCTTTACCACTCTGAACCGCACTTTACCTTCAACCAGTGTGATACGCCGCTGCTTCTATCTTTGTCCAATCGACCACTTACAGTTTCTTTCCACCACCCAGCACGGTTCACCTCGCTAGGGTGAGATTGGCGGCTGGGGTGGATGGGTTGGTGCGAGTGCACTCACAGTGCCGAGTTTGAGGCATTGTCCCCACCCCACCCCACCACCCATCCACCACCCATCCACCACCCATCCACCACCCATCCACCACCCATCCACCACCCATCCACCACACATCCACCACCCATCCACCACCCATCCACCACACATCCACCACCCATCCACCACCCATCCGCGACCCATCCACCACACATCCACCACCCATCCACCACACATCCACCACACATCCACCACACATCCACCACCCATCCACCACCCATCCACCACCCATCCACCACACATCCACCACACATCCACCACCCATCCACCACCCATCCACCACCCATCCACCACACATCCACCACACATCCACCACACATCCACCACACATCCACCACACATCCACCACCCATCCACCACCCATCCACCACACATCCACCACCCATCCACCACCCATCCACCACCCATCCACCACACATCCACCACCCATCCACCACCCATCCACCACACATCCACCACCCATCCACCACCCATCCACCACCCATCCACCACCCCACCCCACCACCCATCCACCACCCATCCACCACCCATCCACCACACATCCACCACCCATCCACCACCCATCCACCACACATCCACCACCCATCCACCACCCATCCACCACCCATCCACCACACATCCACCACACATCCACCACACATCCACCACACATCCACCACACATCCACCACACATCCACCACACATCCACCACCCATCCACCACCCATCCACCACCCATCCACCACCCATCCACCACACATCCACCACCCATCCACCACCCATCCACCACCCATCCACCACACATCCACCACCCATCCACCACCCATCCACCACCCCACCCCAACCTTTCTTTCATGTCCTTCCCTCCCACAGACGGAGGAAAGCATACTCAGAGACGGAGATGGAGACGCAGACGGAGTGTTGCACTCAGAGTTCCGACGTTCGAGGTGCCTTGCATACTCTGCCGCCCCTTACCCCTCCGTTCCGTTCCCCTCCTCTTTCTGTGACGCACAGGGTGAGATAGGTGACGGGGTGGATGTGTTGGTGCGGGTGCACTCAGAGTGCCTCACGGGAGACATCTTTGGGTCCAGGCGCTGTGACTGTGGGCCACAACTGGAGCAGGCTATGAAGAGGATAGAAACGGCGGGGCGGGGCGTGTGTGTGTACCTGCGTGGGCACGAGGGCAGGGGCATTGGGCTGGGACACAAGCTTCAAGCGTATAATCTGCAGGTACGGGTGGTGTGTTGCTAGGGCATCAGGGAAGGGGGGAATTGGGTTGAGGTGGTGTGACTGTGGGCCACAACTGGAGCAGGCTATGAAGAGGATAGAGAGGGCTGGGCAGGACGTGTGTGTGTACCTGCGCAGGCACGAGGGGAGGGAGGGGCATCTGGCTAAGACACAAGTTGCAAGCATATAACAGAGTCGCTATTGAGGATTCTCTAAAGTGACTCAGATGGTGTGATGTCAGGGGCGACTGCGACAAATATGAGGAGGACGGGGATGGCAGGGAGGGGCGTGTGTGTGCATCGCATCCCCTCCCTCCTCATCCGTCCCCCTCCCCCCTCCTTTCCCCTTCCCGCGGGACACAGTGGAGGCCAATGTGGACTTAGGACGCTTTTGAGGATTCTCATAAGTGATTCCCGCGGGACACAGTGGCCAATGTGGACTTCGGACGCGTCCCCTCCCTCGATCGATCGTGCAAAATCGAGGAGGATCGATCCTCCACCGCACTAAAATCCTGCGTTTTTCGTTTTCGATTTTTTAAAACTTTTTGAACCGAGCGCAGGGCCGATCGAGGGAGGGGACACGTCCTTAGGCTTTTTATACGCCCGCAATCCCCTCGTCTCATCTCTCTCAACACTCCTGCCATGTTCCACCGCATTCCACCCCCCCTGTGCAGGACATGGGGCGGGACACAGTGGAGGTCAATGTCGACCTGGGCTTTCCGAATGCCAGCAATCCCCTCCTCTCATCTCTCTCACCACGTCCACCATTTCCCACCGCATCCAACTCCCCTCCACACAGGACATGGGGCGGGACACAGTGGAGGCCAATGTCGACCTGGGCTTTCCGAATGCCAGCAATCCCCTCCTCTCATCTCTCTCACCACATCCACCATTTCCCACTGCATCCAACTCCCCTCCACACAGGACATGGGGCGGGACACAGTGGAGGCCAATGTCGACTTGGGCTTTCCAGCTGATTCCAGGGAATACGGCATTGGCGCACAGGTGAGGGCTTGGTGCGCAGGTGAGGGCTTGGTGCGCAGGTGAGGGCTTGGTGCGCAGGTGAGGGCTTGGTGCGCAGGTGAGGGCTTGGTGCGCAGGAATACGGCATTGGCGCGCAGGTGAGAGCGTGATTGATGTCCAGAGAGGAATCGGCGTGCAGATGGGGGCTGGTCACTCTGGTATTTGCTCTCGTTCAACCATCCCCGCTTCCTCTATTCCCTGCTCTCACCATCCCCTCTTTCTCTCACTCTTCTCTCACCATGACTCCGCCCAGATCCCACCCACCCGACCTGGGAGTGATGGCAGCGTGCCTCAAGACCAATAACCCAGCCCAGCCCACTGACCTGGGTTCCCTGCCTCTCTCCCCGGTCCACTTCTTTCTCCGTTGATGGTACTTCTCCTCACCTTTTCCCTCCATCCTCGCTCCACTCCCCGTCAGATCCTGCGTGACCTGGGAGTGAGGACGATGCGACTCATGACCAACAACCCTGCCAAGTACATCGGGCTGAAGGGCCACGGTCTGGCAGTCACGGGAAGAGTCCCCGTGCTCTGCCCCATCACCCCTGTAAGCACCACCGTTCCAAATCTAACCACCACCACTCCAAATCTAACCACCACCGCTCTAGCTCAGACCAACACCACTACGGTCTGTGCATTGGACCAACTCCCCTTTGCCAAGTACATAGGACTGAAGGGCCACCACGGGCTGGCAGTCACTGGAAGAGTCCCCGTGCTCTGCCCCAGGGATTTTTTTAGAGTTCTCAAAAAATCCTGGCAGTCACAGGAAGAGTCCCCGTACTCTGCCCCATAAGCCCCATGGGGAGGACGTGAGAGCATGCTGAGCTTGTTGCAGTGATGCTTATTCTCTTCCTCACTCTCCCTCCTCACCTCAAACCGGGCGTATCTTGAAAGACATGCTTGGGTCGGACATGCCTGGGAGCAGGTATTGCATACTGAGCATGTATGTTACGATGACACTCACCCTTGCGCCCACTCCCCTCTGCATGCAAAAGTACCGGACATATCTGGAGGTGAAGAGGAGGGAAATGGGCCATGTCTATGCTTCGGACATTCCTGGGAGCATGTCTATGCTTCGGACATTCCTGGGAGCATGTCTATGCTTCGGACATTCCTGGGAGCATGTCTATGCTTCGGACATTCCTGGGAGCATGTCTATGCTTCGGACATTCCTGGGAGCATGTCTATGCTTCGGACATTCCTGGGAGCATGTCTATGCTTCGGACATTCCTGGGAGCATGTCTATGCTTCGGACATTCCTGGGAGCATGTCTATGCTTCGGACATTCCTGGGAGCATGTCTATGCTTCGGACATTCCTGGGAGCATGTCTATGCTTCGGACATTCCTGGGAGCATGTCTATGCTTCGGACATTCCTGGGAGCATGTCTATGCTTCGGACATTCCTGGGACTGCATGCACATGTTCTGATGACTCTCGCCCTTACCCTCACTCCCGCGTATGCAGGAGAATCGGGCGTATCTGGAGACCAAGAGGAAGAAGATGGGTCACATCTATGGGTCAGACATGCCTGGGAGCATTGCAGGGCTGCTTCGAGAGGAGGAGGCTGCTAGGCGTGCACAGCAGAAGCAAGAGGATGAGGAGAACAAGGAAGGGCAGGAGAGGAAGCAGGGGCAGAGTGACGGGCAGGTGAAAGGGCAGGAAGATGGGAAGGAGGAGCTTCTGTTGTGCCAGCTGAATGGGGCGAGTGTGGGAGGCGATGGGAGTCCTTTGGAGAGCACTGCGCTCAACACCCCAGAAGATTGGAGCTAGATGCTTTCGCGGATCGACGAATGAGTAATTTCTTGGATGGGGCGAGTGTGGGAGGCGATGGGAGTCCGTTGGAGCGCACTGCGTTCAACACGCCAGAAGACTGGGAGCTAGATTGACGTATGAGTCGGCTCCTTGGTCACTTATCCAATAGGCCGACAGTGGGGGGTGATGGGGGTCGTGTGGTAGGCGTTGGTTCTACTCGCCAGAGGAATGCAGCTAGTAGATGCGGCAAGGATGGAGCACAGCTTTGAGGCGCCTCAATACTGGGAAGGATGGAATGCAGGAAGTGCCAAGAACGCTGCTGGAATACCTTCGTTACAGTGCCTTGGCAGATGATGCATAGTCTTTAACGATACAGTGCGGTGTAGAGGGATCTGAGCTCGCTGCAATTCATGAGGATTAAGAATGTTGTTGGTAGTGAGAGAATGTTGCATGGAGGAAGGCTCTGTTTCATTGCACTGCTTCCCACCGCACTGCACTGCGCTGCATTTTGTTGTGTTGTGGTAGGTATGTTGTGCCTGCACACTTGTGCATTGAACCACCCACCCCACATGCAACCCCTTTCCCTAGTTTTCAACTGTAGCGTCATCGCCCGGATATAAGACATATATGTCATATCTCGTGCACTACTCAATTCTTGGGTTATCTTATAAGTCCTATAAATGGACAAAGAACCGTTTAGAAGATACCCCTTCGCTGTACAATTGCCCCTAACCCCTACACTGGCTTGGCTTAACTCGTACACTCAAATAGGTGTCTTATAATGAGGCTAGTTTGTTTATGAGACACCCGGATAATAGACAACCCCTCTCTACTATTCAATACTGTCTTCTATCTGGGCTATGACGGTATCAGATTTGGAGCGGCTTCCATGCACCTGAGGTAACCTTGGCACATAAAAGTTACATATTAACACCCCATACTAGCAGCACTGCAGGCTCACTTGACAAGAATGTGGTATCCTCAATATTATCACATGTGAGACATGTAGAGAGTTGTAGGACTTCGGCAGGAAGAGGGGGAGGGGAGAGGCTATAGCTCCCCTGATCTGCTTATGACATTAGAATGCATAAGACAATAGAAAAGCATAAGGCAGGTACAGCAACTCCTGCCTGCTACCAGATTGGGGGAGCAGAATTCACCAGAGCAGCTCTTTATGAGATGCTCGGATCTTTTTATGCCCAAACAATGCTAGATATCATGCTGCTGCTTCGGAATGTGATTCTTGGCGTTGCATGAACCGTCACATCACATGATGTGTCATCTCGCCACTAAGTCTTCGAATCTTCAGAAGCGAAACACATGACGAATGTGGTCCCTTGATATGATACCACTGCATATACTGCAGTTACATGCCACCATTTTCGCCACCCCTCGTGCCTCGCCCCCTTTGTCATGATGTTGTGCACCACTCATGTCATCACCACTTCAAACTGCAGATCACCGCTTCTGACCGCACACACAGCCACTTGAATCACCATGGAAAGCTGTCCAGGCCAATCTCGTTCGCTCCCAGGTACGGCGGGAAAGTCAACGCACATCACCGCTTCAAACCGCGCACTGCCCCAACAATTACCAGAGAATGCTGTCCAGGCCAATCTCGTTCGTTTCAAGGTACGGTGGAACATCAAGGTCCCAGAACGGAGCACCGGCGTCACCACCAGCACCACCGACACCGCCACCACACACTTCATCGAGCCCAAAAGAAAAGGTCTCGGCATCAAGCTCAGACACTGGAAACTCCTCCTCTTGTGCTGCTGCTCCCTGCAAGCCTGATTCCTGGAAATCCGCTGCTTCGGCTTTGACAGCAGGTGCTGCAGGGGTGGTGACGGCATGGCATGAGACAAACTCGGGTGCAGAAGCAGAGTGAGTGAGAGGCTCTGGGAGGAGAAAGAGGAAGTCTGAGTCGGTAGATGGGGTGGAGGAGGAGAGGGGATTTGGTAAGGCGGTTGAAACTGGGGCAGGAGAAGCGGTCTTGAGTTCAGGTGACGTTGGGGCAGATGAGGGGGCAGATGAAAGCGCGGAGGAGAGGTTGTTGCAGGAGGACGATTTAGTGCAGGATGAAATTTCTGAGGCCACTTCACTGAGGATGCTGTAACACAAACAGGGAGTAGATTTATAACAGGAAAAGAAGCAGGGGATAGCGGTTAGAAGCGGGTAAAAAAAAAGAACTGAGGGAAATTAAGCAGAATGGGTAAGTTAACGAGAGAATGGGGACGGAATGGGTGGTGAGAAAATAGCCAGGAGCCGGGTTAGCCAGCAACACATGGGATATACCTCTCGGTATCGCTGCAATAGCCCTGCATGTACTTGTGCGCCTTGCTATTCTTCTTGGTGCGCACTACAGCGGGTATAGCGCCACCAGCACCGCCTGCACCACAAACCGCCGCCCTTCCGCCAGCTCCGCCCGCGCCTGCGCCTGCGCCAACCGCAGAAGCCCCTGCGCCGAGAACGTCCCCCGCTGCGCCCTCTGCGGAGTCTTCCCCCGCGAAGTTCGTCTGCGCCTCCGCCCCGCGTATGGCGCGCGCGGCCGCGTCGTATGCGCGGGCGGCGTCCTCCGCCGTGTCGTACGTCCCCAGCCACAAGCGCACGCCGCGCGCGGGGTCGCGGATCTCCGCCGCCCATTTTCCCCACGGGCGCTGGCGCACCCCCCTGTACCGCTGCTGCTTCTCCTTCGCGTCGGCTTTCTTCCCCTTCCCGACGCGCAACCTCGCCTGCATGGCCGCCGCGCCGGCAGCGCTGCCGTCAGAGCTGACGGCCGGGCTGATAGCCGGCAGGCCGGCGGCAGCCGCCGGCGCCGCGAACTGCTGCGCGCCGCACTGGCCTTGCGCCGTGGCGTACTGCATGTACAGGAACTCCGCCGCGCCCGGCGGCATCTGCGGCGTCATGTGCGCCGTGGCATGCGGGGAAGGCAGCACCGGGAGGTATCCCATATGCGGGTTCCTCATCCACTGCATGGGTGGATAATCGAACGGATAGGAACCCACCGCACCCGCTGCGGCGGCGGCGGCGGATGCGGCGGCTGGGGGAGGACTAGCAACAGGGGAAGCCGCAGAGGGGCCTGGAAAGAGGCGAGTCGCAGGAGCCTGCATGCCGCCCATGTGTCCGTAATAGGCGCCGTAACCCGCGCGTGCGAGGTGGTGCGCGGGAGGAAAGCCGCTCGCCATGCCGACGGCAATGCCGTTGGGAGAGAATGACGTCATCCCACGATACGCCGCAGCCGCGCCAGCAGCGGCGGCACCAGCAGGGCTTGAAGCACCTGCGGCGGTGGCAGTTGCGGCGGCTGCGGCGGTAGAAGCAGCTTGAGACGACGGCGACGGAGGCGAACTTCGCTTCTGACAGCTACCCGCCAGTTTGGCCGGCGGCGCGGCATATTGAAAATAGGGATTATAAGCGTATGCGCCAGACCCGGGGGCGAATTGATGCATGTACTGTAGCGGCTGACCCAGCGGGTAGTTCGGCGCGAAAGGCGGAGGGACGAACGGAGAAGTAGAGAGGCCGCACGGGGCGACGGCGGTAGTTGCGCTTCCCGGTGCCGTGACGTTCGTCTCGTTGTCACTCTCCGAATCGACGCCGTGCGCGATGAAGACCTGCGAGTTGGGAGTAACCGGAAAAAGGGGGGGATGTGGGGGACCAAGGAGGGGGAAGGGATGCCGTGACGTTCGTCTCGTTGTCGCTCTCCGAATCGACGCCGTGCGTGATAAATACCTGCGAGTTCAGAGTGACCGGAAATAAGAAGACGCGTGAAAACCAAGGACAGGATTACAGTATAGCGTCGTCAGCCCAGGCTGGCACAAAAAGCAGCCATTTCCTATGGGTAGCAAGTACAGGGTAAGGTTGCAGGAGAAGGGGGAGGGGGGATGTGGGAAGGAGAGGGGGGAGAGGGGGGGTAGAGAGGGGGGAGAGGGGGGGTAGAGAGGGGGGAGAGGGGGGGTAGAGAGGGGGGAGAGGGGGGGGTAGAGAGGGGGGAGAGGGGGGAGAGGGGGGGTAGAGAGGGGGGAGAGGGGGGGGTAGAGAGGGGGGAGAAGGGGGGTAGAGAGGGGGGAGAAGGGGGGTAGAGAGGGGGGGGGGGGGGAGGAAGAGGGAGGGAAGAGGTGAGGGGGAGATGGAGGGCGGGGAGGGAGGCAGGGGAGGGGGAATACCTGCGGCGCGGCGGGCTTCACCCATCGCTTGGAGGCGGGGCTGCAGCTCTCGTCCTCTGACGAGTCGTCCGTCGCGTCGGGATCCGTGCGCACCACCCGGCCGCGCTTGGCGCACGCTTTCTGTTGTGGACGAGGAGGGCGGGGAGGAGGGCCAGAGGGCAAAAGAGAGGAGGGAGGGGTGGGGGAGAGGGTGGGGGAAGGAGGGGGTGTGTGGGGAGGGGTGGGGAGGGAGGGAACGACAGGAGGGAGAAAAGAGAGGGAACGAAGTGGAGGAGGAAAATGAGACGAGGTACTGGAGAGGAGAAAAACGCGGATACGATAGTGAGGCAAGGGTAGTGGACATGTGATCTAAGACGTACTCGAGGCTAACCATAGCGCGTACGAGAAAATGCAATTGAAGAATGCAGCAATTCGGGACCTCACAGCTATCATGCGGAAGCTAAACCGGCCTAATTGGTGCAACGAATCTTGACAAGAAGTTTACCTTGACCTTAGATCCAGCGTAGTATTCATCCTCGATAGAGGTGGACGCGCTATTGACCCCAGAAACAGTTCGGGTCACGCTCTTTGTGGTGAAAGCTCTGAAAAGATGCTTCTGAGCTCCAGGCATTCTAAATTCTGCGATTGGAGGTAACAGATCCGTTTCGAACTAATAATAACTCCAAAAAATCGTTTCTAATCGTTTTAGAGTAGTCGTCAGAGTTATTAATCGCTAAGGACAGGTTGACGGAACGCGAAAAGTGAGGGAAAAGAGGGCAGGGAAGGGGGGATCACAGCTACGCACGAAGGCGAGCTGGAGAAAGAGAGATATGTGATGCATCGATTTCTTTCTTTATTGCTGCTGCTGAGGCACGGGAAGCAAGCAAGCAGGCACGCATACCCTAGAGCCCGAGGGCAGGCAGGCACAAGAGCATCACACACAAGCTCTTAGCAGCGGTCTAATTGAAATTCATTAGGTTTGAATACAACTAACTTGGGTGTGGTTCGGTTAATTAGGTGTCCAAGTGTGTGTCTCTCGTAGAGCTGGTCCCCCCAAGTGCGCCGTATATGTACTGTGTCCCCGCGGACAGCATGCGTCCGCGCAAACCAAACCTCGGGTGCAGTGAGTTCTTCCCGAGAGAGGACGGGCGTGGAGGGGAGGCAGGGGGGGGGGTTTCTGTTGGTGATTCTGCCGCGGCTGTTCCGCGGGCATTCTTTGCTGTGAAGCAGAAAGATTGAGTTGAGTTTGGGGGAGGGGGTGGGGGATCTCCGCCTGGCCCTGGACTGTCTGGGGATAATGGGAGATCGCTATTGGCTGCTAAATCACGCACTTCGGGGAAGTGAATAAGGTGAACATTCCGCCTTGAGTTCGCGATTGGCTATTGAAGAAGCTCGCGGAAGCGTGTGTGATGTACAGTTTGCGCATCTCGGTCCTCCTGACCTGAAGCGGAATCGGTGGCTCTCTGCGACACTTGCCTCGATGATGGCAACGAGTCGAGCTGCGCTGCGGGGCAATCCCCATGGCACAGAGAACGACAAAATCATGGGGCGCACGAATGAACGAATTTAGTCTTGATTGCTGAAGAGATTCAGATACGGGGGAAGTATGAATGGCGGAATGGAGTGGCTTCCCGAGGTCCCCCATTCCCAAGATAAAACGCGGTTCGGTTTGTTTGGGCTGATCCCCGCGCGCTTGGATGGGATGACGAAATGGACACGCTGGCGGGATTCGGGTTTGTGGCAGGAGAATCCCGCCAGGCCCCAAGGAGGGATGTGATGTGCGCACGGAAATAGCACTTTCCTGTGTGATTTGGCTGGAAGGCGCGCACGATAACGTCAGCATGTCGCGGGTGTGGATCTGAACTGGCGTTGCTGGGTTGGCCGCAGCAGATTACTGGCTGGTAAGACGAACCATATTTCACTTTCGCACGCGTTATCTACCACGTGGTACATATGCCACACATCCACCATCCCATGGTGTCTCGGTGTAATGGAGACCAGAAACGCCCAAACATTCTGGAGAAACTGATTCAGCATACCCCCTTTCCACGACATCCACACCCAGCCTGACTAAAAAACGTAAAGCCAGCATCTTGTTCTGTAATCTGCCTTTTGCCGGGGAGCTTCTACCTTCATAACGTTTTCTGTCACAAACGTCTGGAAGCCCGGAACCACCTACGTTTAATGACCGAAACGAAAGGGTACTTCATGAGATTGTGGGACCTGTCATGATCACCGTGGCGGCGACAAGAAGATCATCCACCGTTTGTCCTTCCCAAGACTTGCAAGCAGCCCTGGGTGCGCAGCAAACGAATGAAACAATACCAGTTCATCTAGTGAGCAGGTCTTTCACGGGGTATTTTTAAAAGACCTTGTCACCCACCTTCAAGGCAACTCAAACTCCCCGAGCACAAGATAACCGAATCCATACTTAGACGAGCCGGCTGTACCGTCAAAGCCTCCCGCCACAAGCACATTAACAACAGTTTTGCATGAGTCTGGTCTGGCAACATTCTCCACCCGTTCTACTGTAAAGCAGTGAAACATCCTAGTACAAGCCACTCAAGCATCAGCCTATCGATCAGTTGTGAACTGCTAGCACGTGGCACGAAGTGGTGCCATGTGAAGTCGCTGCTTCTAGAGCTTTGCTTCTGTTGAGAACTAACAGGTGGCAACCGTTTACTAGCCCTAATTCGCGAATTCACTCCTTCGATGGGCGCTAGCATTGCTGCCATTCCGAACTGTACCCAATACGTGATGCTGGTGTACTGTAGATCAAAAAAGGGCACAACCCCGCTTCGGGAGAAGTTTCCTAGGATTCTTCTGAACCTGAAAAGGGTTTGAGTTGAGATGTTGCAAGGAATTTTCTCGACACTCCTTAGCACACCCTACAACATCGCGTACAGTAGCAGCCGTTGTTTGCCCGTTACTGCTAAGAGGGCTTCGCCAACTTCGCGCGCACTGTTTCACCAAACCTCGCACTGCTGGCCCGGCCATGTCTGCCTACACTTCGGGACTAGCCCAAACCTCACTGCCAGCGTAATATCAGGTAGCTCGCACGCACCGCGTTACCATTTGCATGTTTCGCGTATAAATGTTCGCTCATGTCTTCGCTCACATTTTGTACTCGTTTGACACTTTGTGCAATTCTCGCTACCTCGATTCATTGCACCCGTAACACTGGGTATTCACATCTTCTTTCTTTCGGACCGCGAATCTCCGCACCCCAGGAAATCAACTTTTGATTTTTCACTCTAAGAGACTCACGCACCTTAGTGTCAAACTTATATGCTATAGTCTGTGTAGGTTGTAGTGGGGTAGACAATATAGGGTACAACATTTATAGGTTTTCCAACTTGTACCCACCTCTTTCCTAGTTCATCCAATCCTCATTCTTCACAAGGTATAGAGCAGGTTCCCTCGTGGGAACCCTTCTCAGGGCCCACCACTAAACTTGTTTTTTTTTCCTGCCCGAGGCGCGCCCCGTAGGCCGCCCTCACATCGCGCTCCCTTAGCGGCCCCTCTCACGGCCCCTCGTGCCCTCCTCCCCTTAGCGGCCCCGTCGCCGCCCTTTGCGGCCCCGTCGCCGCCACTGTAGGCCCCCTCACGGCCCCTTCGCGGCCCCGTCGCCGCCCCTCTAGGCCCCATCGCGGCCACTTCGCGGCCCCGTCGCCGCCCCTAGTGGCCTTGTCGCCGCCCCTCTAGGCCCCTCGCGGCCCCTTCGCGGCCCCGTCGCTGCTTCGCGGCCCCGTCGCCGCCCCTAGCGGCCCCGTCGCCGCCCTTCTATGCCCCTCGCGGCCCCTTCGCGGCCCCGTCGCCGCCCCTAGCGGCCCCGTCGCCGCCCCTCTGGGCCCCTCACGGCCCCTTCGCGGCCCCGTCGCCGCCCCTCTCGGCCCCCCGCGGCCCCTCTGCGGCCTCGTCGCCGCCCCTATCGACCACCTCGCCGCCCCTAGCGGTCCCATTGCCGCCCTTTGCGGCCACCTCGCCGCCCCTAGCGGCCCTGTCGCTGCCCTCTAGCGGCCCTGTCACCGTCCGTCTCGGCCCCTTCAGCCGCCCAGCAGCCGAGCCGCCCCACCGCCGAGCCGACCAGCAGCCGAGCCGCCCAGCAGTTGAGCCGCCCAGCAGCCGAGCCACAGAGCCGCCCAACAGCCGCGCCGCCCAGCAGTCGAGCCGCCTAGCAGCCGAGCCGCCTAGCAGCCGAGCCACCGAGCCGCCCAGCAGCCGAGCCGCCTAGCAGCCGAGCCACCGAGCCGCCCAGCAGCCGACCGCCCAGCAGCCGAGCCGCTACTGTTCCTACCGGCACGCCCCGGCCCTACTAACTCACACTGGTGAGATCCCTCCCTGCTAGACCACTGCTGTCATGGCTACCCCCAGTGTCCTTACCTTTGATGCTGAGGGTTGGTGCTGTTGACTTTGAGGTCTGGGGCGATGACCTCGAACTGTTCTTCCAGTGCGATAGGGCAGACGGACTCTCCCTGTTTGATCTCACCCCTGGTGCTTCTCCTGCCCCGCCTGCTACTGCTGACAACACTGTTCGCTCACACTGGGCCACACGCGATGCTGCTGCCCGTCTTGCTGTGCATCGCCACTTACCGACAACTGAGCGTGCGCACTTTGGTCAGTACAAGAGTGCTAAGACCTTGTACGACGCTGTAGTTGCACGCTACTCTTCCCCTGCCACTGCTGCTCTTATCCGCCTCATGCTACCGTACCTATTCCCGGACCTTGCTGCCTTTCCCACAGTCGCTGACCTCATTACGCACCTTCGCACTAGTGACACTCGCTACCGCGCTGCGCTTCCTACTGATTTCTGTGCAGAGAACCCCCCCCCCCATGTACATCACCCTCTACTACATAGTCACCCGACTCCCTGACTCCCTTCGCTTAGTCAGGGACCACTTCCTCTCAAGTTGCCCCACCACACTCACCGTTGACCTCCTCGAGGAGCGCCTCCTAGCAGCAGAGAAGAGCATAGTCGCTGTAGGAGCCTCTAGTGGTTACCCTCGCACCCCCGTCTTTGAGGGGTGTTCCCCCTCCCCCCTCTTG